TCAAGGATTTCAACAATGGATGGCTCTGATACCACTTGACGCACAAATTTGAAAGGAACCATATTCATAAAATCCTTTCATAAAATCATAAATTCCATGTTGAAATCAAAGAGACAACAAAAAGTGCGGAAACATACCTTGATCCATGAATCTTACTACTTTAATTGGGTTTTGATCTTCCAATTGAAATAATGTTAGAGACATTGTCTTTGAGAAAGAAGTTGAGGAAGGATCGGTTTCGATTCCGACTATTGCTTTTGACAATGTACAGGTTTCTATACCTGTTGTTGATCAAGAAGCATATCCAGAACCTCAACCAGACAATGTTGAAGTACTTCCCATCCAAAATGAGGTAATTATTCCAGAAATACAAACTCAACAACCTCAAGAGCCAATACCATTAAGGAGATCCACGAGAGAGAGGAAAAGTACTATTTCAGATGATTTCATAGTATTTCTTCAAGAACATGAGGAAAGTAATGGAATGGTGGGAGATGATCCAATCAATTTCCATCAGGCCATGCAGGGTTCTAACTCTCAAAAGTGGATTGATGCCATGAATGAGGAGTATAAGTCTATGCAACACAATAAAGTTTGGGATCTTGTCCCATTACCTGAAGGTGTGAAGCCCATTGGTTGTAAATAGATTTTTAAAACCAAGAGGGATTCAAATGGTAATGTGGAAAGATATAAGGCTCGTCTTGTGGCTAAAGGCTTTACCCAAAAGGAAGGTATTTGACTTCAAAGAGAATTTCTCTCCAGTTTCAACGAAAGACTCTTTAAGGATAATTATGGCACTTGTTGCGCACTTTGACCTTGAGTTACATCAGATGGATGTCAAGACGGCATTTCTCAATGGCGACATTGATGAGACAATCTATATAGTGCAACCAGAAAACTTTGTGTCAGGAGACTCGAAGAACATGGTTTGCAAATTAAAGAAATCCATCTATGTGCTCAAGCAAGCTTCCCGTCAATGGTATCACAAATTTCATCAGGTCATTATCTCATTTGGTTTTGAGATAAATGTCGTTGATGATTGTGTGTATCACAAGTTTAGTGGGAGTAAGCATATTTTCCTGGTTTTATATGTTGATGACATACTGCTTGCCACTAACGATATAGGCATGTTGCACGAAACCAAGAGATTTTTATCAAAGAATTTTGAGATGAAAGATCTTGGTGACGCCTCTTTTGTATTAGGGATTCAGATACATCGGGATCGTTCTCGAGGTATTCTTGGATTGTCACAAAAGAGTTATATCGATAAAGTACTTAAGAGGTTTGGCATGCAAGACTGTAAACCAGGTGACACCCCTGTCGCTAAGGGAGACAAATTTAGTCTCAAACAGTGCCCACAAAATGACCTTGAAGCTAAGGAAATGCAGAAGATTCTCTATGCATCAGCCATTGGGAGTCTAATGTATGCTCAAGTATGTACACGCCCAGACATAGCATTTATTGTTAGAATGCTAGGCAGATATTTAAGCAACCCTGGGATGGATCATTGGAAGGCAGCCAAAAGGGTTATGAGGTATCTAAAGAGAACAAAGGATTATATGCTCACATATAGCAGATCAGATCAGTTAGAGATCATAGGGTACTCCGATTCTGATTTTACTGGATGCCAAGATAGTAGAAGATCCACATCATGTTATATTTTTCTGCTAGCTGGAGGAGCTATTTCCTGGAAGAGTACCAAGCAGACACTCATAGCTTCTTCTACCATGGCAGCAGAGTTTATAGCATGCTATGAGGCATCTAATCATGGAATATGGCTGCGAAATTTTGTCACTGGGCTGCGCATTCTGAATGGCATAGAAAGACCACTAAAGTTGTATTGTGACAACAACTCAGCAGTTCTATATTCTAACAACAATAGGAGCTCATCTAAATCAAAACATATTGACATTAAATTCCTGGTTGTGAAGGAAAGAGTACAGAGTGGACAGATTTCTATAGAGCACATTGGAACAAACTCCATGATTGCGGATCCGCTTACTAAGGGATTACCACCCAAGGTCTTTCATGAGCACACCGCTCATATGGGTGTTGTACTTTTTGAGGATATCATGTTTTAGTGGGAGTTTGTATTCTTATTGCTTTATATATGTTTAGTCCTTTGAACACGTTTATGTATTTGGATATTTTCTGTACAGAAATAAAGTATTCAGTTCATTCCACTCTGTTATTATGTTCAGTACTGATCTCACTTAAGAAATAAGGTTGGACCAGTTGGAAATAGACATGTTCGGATCACATAACATGTAATTTCCATGCTACACTCCCATAATTAATCTATGTCATTTGGTTGTATGGGTGTACGTGACCATTGATGGATTTAGTCACGCTAAATGTGACGAAAATCGCTTTGATCCTCCATCAATGTAACTAATGGACGAGATTGTTTGGAAATACCTTTAATAACTATAGCACAATTTTGAGCTCATAAGTATGTACACATTTATAATGTAACATGTTTGGCCCAGTAGGAGATTGTTGGAAAAAATTCCAACTTTAGGGGCCACACATGTACATTTATTAGAATGTGTGGTGCTAATTTAAAGTAAATATAGTCGATAAAGTGATCCATTGGATTTAATTTTGGACTAATGGGTATTAAATTTTATGGGATTAAAGTGTAGAAACCAGAAGGTGTTATTTTGAATTGATGAGGGGCCGATTTGAAATAACTTAAAGTTAATAACTGCCAATAGCAGTTATTTTAAAAGTGGTTATGGTCCCCAATTTGAATGTGATTTTTTTTTATGATATCTCTGCATCCCTATCAACAGAGACTTTTCAAGAAAATCAAAAGGAAGGAAAATCACGTATTAATTGGAAGATCAAAACCCAATTAAAGTAGTAAGATTCATGGATCAAGGTATGTTTCCGCACTTTTTGTTGTCTCTTTGATTTCAACATGGAATTTATGATTTTATGAAAGGATTTTATGAATATGGTTCCTTTCAAATTTGTGCATCACTGAATTCATCCATGGCTACGAAGTCGATACAATTCTTTTCTTCCATAGTTGGTTCGGATTTATTAATTTCAGACAGGATCTTGACTTGGTTTATCTTTGAACATATTTAAGGATTTGTTCATTATTAATTCAAAAAAGAGTAAAAAATTAAATGATTAATATGTGCTTCAATTCTCCATATATTTAGCATTTGCTGGTTAAAGTTCTCACTCTCTTTCTTTCTTTCTTTTTTCTATTTTTTTAACGGTGATTGATTAAATTTTGGGAAATTTACATAAGTAAGAAATTAAGTATCGCATATTTCAAAATTAAGAAAACAAGTTTCAAATTTCGAAAACCAGATTTTTATTAAAATTTATTTATAATTTGAATATTTAATTAATTAAATATATTTAGGTCACAGATATATACAACTTGGTCACTAATTAACAATTTAATTACTAATTTATTATTTTTTTGTCACAAATCAAAAAATTTATGTCACAAACTATTTTACGATTACAATCCAAAAATTTTACAGGTCACAGATTAATTTTTAGTCACAACTTATCAAATTATTGGTCACAATTTATTTCTCGGTCATAAATAAAAAAAATTTATAGGTCAAAAATTATTTTGTAGTTACGAATCAAAAATTTTATAAGTTACAGAATCAAAATTTTTATTGATCACAACTCTTTTATTCATTGCTAATTATTAGATTAATTGGTAACGATTTTTTTCGATCACAACTCAATCAATTGTTAGTTACAGTCACAATTTTTAGGTCACATATTACAAATTAACCAATTATTAGTCATAATAGACCAAATAATTGGTCACAAGCATCCAACCACATCTCATCTCACCCAGCACCGTCGCCACAACAACCACCGTCACTATCACCATTACCACCGCCAGCATTGCCAATCTAACATGCCAAAACCAAACCAAACCAATGCCACTGCCAACCACCATCACCACGTGTAACAATACTAGCACATCCAAACATTGCGTCGTCACCACCACTGTAAAGCACCTGCCAAAATTGTCGCCACTGTCACTGCCGACCAACGCATAATAGATCAATTCAAAAACAAAAAAAAAAAACTCCCAAAAAATCGCTCTCATCACCCATGCCATCCCACATTCGTGAGTCGACTTCCACCACCACATATACATAACTTCAAACCACCGCCATGTCACCGCCCTCACCACCACCATAACTACACGTACCAACAATCACCACCACCTCCTCCTCCACAAATCCATCATCACCATCATACCACAACCACCAAAAAAGCCCTCAAACCCGTCGTCATCACCACTACCACTACCAAACAAATAGATCACCCCGACTGCGTGCAGTGATGCATCGTTACAAAACAAATAGATCGCCCCGACTGCGTGCAGTGATGCATCGTTACAACCAACGCTACCAACTGTGCATAGTGCTGGTACTATTAGGAGTGACGCCTTGCTGCGGTACTTCCTGTGCACGATCACCAGTGAATGAATGGGTAATCGACGCCAGAGACGATTGATACTGTTGATCGACGCCGAAGATTATGGAAGTGGTTGTCGGCTCTTGAGATATGAAGAGAGATGAGGGCAATGTGAGAGTAATTTTTAGGGTGAAGGGAGATTTGAGATTTGGGTGGAAATAATTTAGAGAGAGAAAAGATAGGATATATTGGGATGAAAATTGTATATTTAATTTTTAATTTTTAAAAATGAAATATATTAATTAATAAAAAGAAATCTGATTTTTGAAAGAGTAAACTTTGTATATGATTTATGAAATGAAATCTTTAAATGTATTAGATTGAGTAATTTCCACTTAAATTTTAGTGTTTTCAAAATTGGTCCAAACAATGGGCTAGCCTACTTTTATGGTGTGGCAATTTAACGTTCACCGACTTTGATACTCCTATTGGGGACATCTCGTAGTTGGACTCTTGTCAATAACTGATAAATCAAAGTATCGAATTGAAAAAAAAGTAGCTAGATTTGCTCGCTAACTCATTGATTTGAAACCTAATCCCATTTTTTCTTGAGACCATTAAGCAGGACCGGCCCTGAGGCCAAGCCATCTAGGCAAAGGCCTAGGGCCTCCAAAAATTGGCTTGGGTCCAGGGCCTCAAAATGGATACAAATTCCAAGCGATAAATTCAATAAAAAAGGGCCTGGAAAGATTTTCAAATCTGCTTTCAATTTGGTGACTGACGACTTCCTTTCTTCCCCTGCTTCCACATTTCTCCAGAATCAAATTCGACCTCCCGCCTCCACTTATTTTAGTTTACTTTCTCTCGGTTTCTCCGGACTTCAATTCATGATTCTATTTCTTCAATATTCTCTCCAGAATCCAGCCCATATCGATCGGTAACATCTCTTCAGGTATGAAGAATAACTTTCTGGATTTAACATTTAACAGTTTAGGTTTGGGTTTGGGAGGAATGTTTAGAAAAACTTTGAATGATTGAATATTTTCAAGAGTTTGAGGTTGAGGGTGTTGTATATTGACTATTGTCTGATTTTATTTTATTTTATTTTTTTTGTGAACGAAAGGGGAAAAAAATATATTCGTTTGGGGTTTCCAAATCATAAGAAGAATTGCAGGGGGGGTCCAAATAAAGATTATTATTTTCTTTATATTTATTATTTTTGGTATTTTGGGCGGAGGGGTGAAGCATGGGGATGGGGATGTCTGCTAATTGTGAATTTCTCTGTGTTCTTATAAAGCTTCAAAGTGACCTTTATCTTTTTCTGTCATGTCATGTGCAAATTGCAATTCTTTTTTCGTGGAGGCTGATTATTGTATCCAGGGGCGGACCCACATGAGGTCATGTGGGATCAAATGACTCCACAGTTTTTTGAAATTTTTTTTTTTTTTTTTTTTTTGCTGAAAACTTAACTTTCGGCCCCAAAAAGTCCAAATCCTAAATCTATATCTACATCACATGGTCCATGTTCATTATTTAGTCCATAGATATATCATATAATCCACCGATTTCTTCCCAAAGTGCAAATATCAAACATGAACAGCAAACAACCAATTTTTCCTTTTTGTTCATGATACGTTGTTTGGAAAAAAAAAATTTGACCCCACAGTTCGAACCGTTTGGGTCCGCCCCTGATTGTATCTTCTTCATGATTACTTGAAGGAAAAAATGGAAATGCATAGCAGGCTGCCAATGCCATTGTTGATTGTCCAATATCTTGGACTTGGACTTGGTCCCTTGGATTTATTTATTTGTATTTTGTTGTGTGTTTCTATGTGCTAATTTTGCTGAAATGCTACTTATGATTTATGAGTATTATATTTTTTGGTTGTCCCAATTACTTGTTGTGCTACTCAAATTAGTAGATTTCTGCTTATGACTTTTGAATGTTGCGTTTGCTTTTAATTTATTGCTTATCTCAAGTTCATCATTTATGTTGGTATTGCTCAAGTCTATGCTAAATGTCATTTGGCTTTTTCTTGCAGGTTGATTGTGGATTTCCTTCACTTGGCATATTCAAGAATGTGGGATATTTTTAATTCGAACTCATCGATTAGGTTCTACCGTTATTTGCTTTAATCATATCTAATAGAAAATTTGAATATGGATATTCTAAATGAAAACGGTATAAAAAGGTTGAACAATTGATTAAATCTCAAGAGGGAACCCTTGATAAAGAATTTAGTGGTGGTAAGCAAAAATATAATGAAGTTGTAGTTACTGAAGAAGAAATTAATAATAACGATATCAATGTTAATACAATTGAAGAACATCGTTATTTGGTGAATGAAGAAATATTTATCGAGGATGATGTTATGGAAGAAACAAACATTAATGAAAAGTATAGTGAACCATTATCCCTTGATATTAGTGATCCAACAAATTCGGAAAATATGAATCAGAATTTAAGAAATTTAATTGTAGTGAAAGATCCAGTTAGAGATAATAATGTAATTTTTCCAAAGGTGTAGCTAATCGCCACTTTTCCTTTGTTCATTACACTCGACGATTACCTAGGGCCGGCCCAGGGTAATCAAGTATAGGGCCTCAACAGGGCAGCTCGCTTAGGGCCTCCAAATGGTCAGGGCCGGCTCTGGCATTAAGGGACGTTGCTTTTGGGATAGGAAACCTTGTAGTCTCAAAGCAGAAGCTTCAAAAATTTAATTTTGTCCTTGATTTCTTCAATTATCTTTGTCCATTTTTTTCCTCTATTGGAGCAAAATTATCAGGGCAAAGAAATCAAACCACCATCTATGTAGCACAAAATTTGTAAAAATATGTTAGACATTTGTGTCGGGACACTTAATGAAAATTAAAAACAATACATTTGGTTTGATCAAAAGTTATCTTTATTAATCAAAACTAGATCAAAAAAATACAAAAAACATGTAATTGATGTAATGCATGTAGATTAACATATTTATTCCAAAATGAAAATGTCTAATCAAACCCAATTTTCTGCCTTTGATTTTATAGAATCCCCTCCTTAAAACTAATCTAAATGCACAGATGATCTGATGATCATTATCATAAAGCAATAGAACCATAAAAAATGAAATGTGAAGTAGGGAACAAATAGTAAAGAGCCATTAAATATACTACGTGCGTGCATGCAGGGATGGAGTTGTGTATACATGCATGGCGTGGCGCTTCATATTAGGTTAACTGAACTCCTTCACTTGTTTTCAATTTTGATGGCGGCGGCATGTGATTCAGTTTTTCAAGTTTTGATGCCGCATTTGCTGGTAGAATCGTTTAATGAATTCCTCCGCCTTGGCATCTATCATCTCGTCTCCAGCCAGCGAGTCAAAAACATTGTCAGAATCATAGCCGTCTTCTTCATCGAGCTCTTGAAGGTTGTTTGCTGAAGCGTATTGGCTAATAGTACCACCGGAGATGGGGGAGGCGGACGAGGAGGCCACGGAGGAGTACGGGGAGGCAGGCCGGATTAGGCCGTCAAACCTTTCCACGCTTGTCGAGATGGAAAGGGATGGATTTGAAGGTGGTGGTGAATTGTCCTCTTGAAGATGCAAAGGTCGGATTGATCCTACGATCTTCTGCCAATTTCCCTTTGAAGAATCCACTTTTGATTTATCCGATTTAGCAAATTTCTTGTTCTGGCTTTTGCGAAGCATGAATACTGCTGATTTGAGGAGGCTGAAAGCGCCACGCTTCTTCTTTCTCCCTTCATTCACCGCCGGCTGCGGTGGATTCTTCTTATTGACATCAGTGGTGATGCCGCCGTCTGCAACGGCTGGAAATTCTACACTGTTGATGATTCCATTGATTGATTCATCTTTCGACATAGCGATGAAGATAGATGTGGGGCTCTTTATGATCTCTCGGAGAGATTCTGCGCGTGTTCTTGCTTAGGGCTCTCCCTGCAAATTGCAGGGCAGAGATGGCGGAGAAAAGGGCTAGGAAAGGTAGAGTTCTTGGCACTATTTATAGAGGGAGACCGGAATTTACTCTCCGGTTGAATTCCTCTTGGACCATTGATCACAGAAATATTACTTTAATACTCATTTAGCCCCATTGTCCCTCATTATTTGAAAAATCTTTTTTTTACGTACTCATTTTCAAATATACATTTAGAGCTTGTTTGATATAGTTTAAAAGTCAATTAAAATCAATTTTTTGACTGTTATTTCACTTTTTCAGCCGTCATTTTTAAATTCTTCTCTCACAGGTAGAATCCATTTTACCTCCAATGATCAAAAAATCAATTATCAAAATCCCTACCAAACAAGTACTAAACTCAAAAAAGAATTCTACACACATTCTCCAAAAACTATTCAAAACAATGTTTTTTCAAAAAAAAAAAAAAAGTAGGGGCTTTACTTCAAATAAATAGTGCTGACGCTCTTTGAACAGAAAATTTCACTGCTGGTGTCTAATATATGGTCTGAGTAGTAAGTTAGTCTTCAATCTTTCAGTATATTTTTATAATTGGTCGCTTTCTATAAGGGCTACAATGATGATTTGATATAGATTTGGATTTTTTCAACTTTAGGGATTAAACAACTATTTTGATTGCTCCCTTTATTTTTATGTATATTGTTTGGTGTCTAGTTTTGTAAAAGTGAATTATATTTTCACAATGCTTATTTAATGAATTATTACAGAAAGGTTGGAGTTGAGAGTGGACGAAATGAACTAATCAAAACAAACCAAACTAGAACCAAACCAAATCAAGTGATTCAATTCGAATCTAAATAAAATTCACTATCCTGATTTTTAGAACAAAAATTCATTTGGATATGGACATGGTTAGGGTTATGGTTCTAATTACCAAAATCAAAATCAGAACCAAGAATCAAACTCAATTTTTATTAATTTTTTATTTGTATTTGTTTTTAACAAATCAGTGAATCGTACAAAAAAATTCTACTTTTGTCCGTGGCTCATTCATCTACATTAGTGAATAATTGCTATTAGACAATATTTTTGTAAGGGGTAAAAATTTATGTTCAAATTAACAATGTTTTATTAATTTGGACTTTTTGTATATGAATTTTGTTACACAATATGTCATTTGATGATTGATAATTTGAATTTGAATTTGTTGAATGTTTGATATTTATTTTTTAAATTTAAGATTATTTTACTAACTTATGATTATGGTGATGGATTTTAATTTGCATTTAATATTTGAAAATTTATGTAATGGGACCAAAATCAAATCAAACCAAACAATTCTTCAAAAAATAAATAAATAAAAATTAAAAATTGTTGATTTCATTATTAAAAAAAAAAAAAATTCTTGGTTCATAGTTTGGTTCTCTTGAAACCTAAACTAAATGGAATCATATTCATCTCTTGTTGGAGTTACAACTAGTAATTGAACTACTAGGACGGCCAATAATGTAAATCTTCCAGGTCATAATGCCAAAAATTGTAATACGAGGGTTAAACCGGTCATTGTCACTGAGGAAGAAAGATGTTCTAGTTTGTTCGTTTTTCCAAAGAAGAAAACGCATGACCGGTGGCTTAGGTGGAAGAATGAATGGTAGCAGGGGTGGCTGCAAGGACCTACGGCTTATATATTCAATTTGATGCCTCAATTCTCTCCCCGTCCAATAGAATCTGTGATGGGATGTTAGAAAGGTTGGAGTTGAGGGTGGACGAAATGACCTAATCAAAACAGACCAAACTAGAACCAAACCGAATCGAGCGATTCAATTCGAATCTAAATAAAATTCACTATCCTGATTTTTAGAACAAAAATTTATTTCGCTATGGTTATGGTTCTAATTACCAAAATAAAAATCAGAACCAAGAATCAAACTCAATTTTTATTAATTTTTTATTAGTATTTGTTTTTAACAAATCCGTGAATCGCACAAAAAAATTCTACTTTTATCTGTGGCTCATTCATCTACATCAGTGAATAATTGCTATTAGACAATATTTTTGTAAGGGGTAAAAATTTATGTTCAAATTAACAATGTTTTATTAATTTGGACTTTTTGTAAATGAATTTTGTTACACAATATGTCATTTGATGATTGATAATTTGAATTTGTTGAATGTTTGATATTTATTTTTTAAATTTAAGCATATGTTACTAACTTATGATTATGGTGATGGATTTTAATTTGCATTTAATATTTGAAAATTTATGTAATGGGACCAAAATCAAATCAAACCAAACAGTTCTTAAAAAAAATAATAAATAAATATTAAAAATTGTTGATTTCATTATAAAAAATAATTCTTGGTTCATAGTTTGGTTCTCTTGAAACCTAAACTAAATGGAATCATATTCATCTCTTGTTGGAGTTACAACTAGTAATTGAACTACTAGGACGGCCAATAATGTCAATCTTCCAGGTCATAATGCCAAAAATTGTAATACGAGGGTTAAACCGGTCATTGTCACTGAGGAAGAAAGATGTTGTAGTTTGTTCGTTTTTCCAAAGAAGAAAACGCATGATCGGTGGCTTAGGTGGAAGAATGGATGGTAGCAAGGGTGGCTGCAAGGACCTACGGCTTATATATTCAATTTGATGCCTCAATTCTCTCCCCGTCCAATAGAATCTGTGATGGGATGTCGCGAATTTCCTAGAATATCTCCAAGAATATATCTCATGTTTGGGAAATCTAAAAATTAATTTATACAGTTTACTTTTTAAAAACAAACTTTAATTTATTATTATTATTTTTTTATATTCAGGTATCCCAACTTACACCGGACTAAATTCTGGACCCCCAAGACCCTTGCCCCTAGAACCTTGGAGGGAGTAAACCGCGGGTTATGCCTCAACTGGATCACAGGTTCCCCCCATTGCTTGTACACCTCTGCGCACAAGAGACCCTCCTCCACAGTGATTGCTCCATACCAAAGTTTTGGCCGCAAGTTCCCACCAGGAATCGAACTCTCCATTCTGCCGCTGAAAGCAAGACAATGTTGATTGATCCACCAGTTGAGCTGTGCCCCGGGGGCCAAAAAATGTATTTAATTTTCATTATCATCATAGTTATTAGACCCATTCGAATATCGACCTGGTCAAGTCATCATATTATTTGGTTGCACCGTCAAGACAATGATTGAAGCTATGGGTCTATAATTTTTAAAATCATGTATATTTTTAAAATCAAGGAATTTATTTTTTAAAATGAATCTGAAGTTTTAAAATGTTTATCATTAATTTTACATATTACTGTAAACTAATTTTGTTACCATAAAGGAAAATTGCGGGCATGGCACTTGTAGACTTGATCTAAACATTCCATTTATATCACCCACAATATCAAACTTTTAAAAAATTTGCTCCCAGAGTTCAAATTGATGAAAACCGTTAGTTCATCCATTAGTTGACCTAGAGTTAACATTTTGATCAAATTTTGATTAATTTTAAAGGGTTATATTTCTTATAAAAATATTTAAACAAAAAACCTAAAAATAATAAATGATTCATCTTCTCTATATACCCCACAGACACACCCTTGAAAACCAAAACCAAGAATCGAAACCACCATTGCCACTCACCCCACCGCCTACTACTGCCCATGCCTATCGCCACCCCGACCTAGACTTCAGCATTATTTGCCTCTTTTTGGATGCCAATTCCAAGATTTTACAATAGCTGAGCTGGTTATATTTCAATTGCATCAGCTGATTTATGGGCCTCTTTAATCTCACCCCTATTCCAACTATTCAAATTGATTACCTAATAATTATTCCATTGATTCTTTTGTTATTCACTCCATTTTGTGTTGAAAGAAAAAATCGGTGATATTATTCCAACTATTCAAAAAGGGTGGAGTTGTGGAATCTATACTCAAATTTGATTGAGTCATCGCGACTTATACAAGACATTTGAGGCTATGGTAGGTAGACGTGATTTATTGATTTATTGCTGAAATTCTTGAAATGGTGGAGTTGTACGATGGCGTAGATTATGGCTTTTGGTTTGGGTGCGTGGGTGGGTGAGTGGGCGGGCAACGACGTGAATTGTTTGCAGTGGCTTTGTTGGCGATTGCAGTATGATAGATGACGGTCGTCGACTAAGGCCCTGTTTGGAGGGCATTTTTTGGGCAAAAAAATTCATTTCCCTACCATTACTACTTGCTGACAGCCGCAACTATTGACCATTACACTCTCATGTGGGGGCCAGGTGACCAAGAAATGGTCCAAAAATTCATTTTCTTCTTCCAAAAAATGCCCTCCAAACAGATGCTAATTTTGAAGTGGTGGATGGAGGTGGTTAGCGCAATTGGGTGGGTGGATATTGGTTTGGCTTCTATGAGGTGAGGTGGCATCGAGTGAGGTGGGTCGGGGTAGGTTGGTAGGGAAGAAGAAAACATTTCAAATTCTTTTCATTTTGTTTTTGGCTTTTTAATTTAATTCGTTTAATTCTTCAATATAAAAATCTAAAGTTACATTTTACCACTTAAAATTTTATCTAAATGTTGACTCTAGATCAACTAACGGATGAACTAATGGTTTCCTTCCATTTGGACTCCATGTGCGAATTTTTGAAAGTTTTGAGACCATGACTACAATTTCACCGTTACAGTAATGTTTATATTTCTCTTATAATAATTTTATAATAAAATATAATTTTTTAGCTTAAGTTTTTATACCCATAGAAAATATTGTTCGTGTTTGACTTCATTATAATATCCTTTATTGGTTCACAAAATGTGTCAATAATAATTGTAATTGTATGATTAAAACTAAAAAGTAACTTATATAAACGTGGGAACAGAAAGTGATGTTTCAAAAATCACTGAACTTAAACATTGATCATGGATTACTCCCTTAACTGTGAAAATCCTTTAAAATGCTCACTGAACTTATCTCGTTTACCCTCCGTCCATTACTTTTAAAAATCTAATTGCTTTTTTGTTCACGTGAAGGACGGTTTTCCTGTGTGGCCACTAATGCAGTGTCACATCACTCAAATTAACTAAGTTAAATTTTAAATTAAAATATTATAATACTTAAAAACCGAAATTCTTTAAAAACTGAAACCATTCTCCCCAAATTGACCTACACCCAACAGCTTTCCCCAAATTTCTTCACGAACCCTATTCCCATATTCTTCTCCATAAACCCTGTTCCCCCAATTTGAAGCATCTAGGCAAAGACTGTCGAATGCTCCCTCATCCTCATCGAAGGCGATAAAGATGAACCGAAGCTAGGCATTTCAGCGATTCCTTTAGGAAGTTGTCGTACCTGATCATTTCCCGACGAAACGAAAGAGTGCATAATTGGGGGCGGATGGTGACTTGGGCACTACAACAAAACGTCTTATCCCATTCTTCTGTTGCTCCGCCATCGACGCTAAGCAATGAAGTACCTTTTCTGTGTTGCCCCGATTTGTTGGATCAAAACTTTAATCAAAGCTACATTTGTGATTATTTAAAGATTGGATTGAAATTGAATAAAGATAACAGTGGAATTATTAGAAACGGAGAAATTAACAACAAATCATAGTAACTTTTGGGCGATGAAAGATGATATTACCGAGTATTATTCCCGACGAATATAGACCGAGGACTCGATTTTCGTCAGTATGTGCATCAAAATGCTCGGGACATATGTGCTCGGGTATCATGTGTGCCCGGGCTAATAGCCCGAAGATTTATTACACAATCATTCGCATGTCCTCGGGACTATGTCCTCGGGATTATGACCTAGGACAGCGCCTTGTCCAACGAGAGATTTATTCTGACTAAGTATCCTTAATTTATCTCCTATGCCCAGAAGAACTCTATTGGTATCACAATTATACCACCATTCAAACTCCTGTCTCGCGCAGGACTCATTGGTATAAAATTGCAAAATCAAGCTATCCTACTACAGGTGCAATGCGGAATCCTGATATGAACACACTACCTACCCCTATAAATACAGGACCTTGAACCATTATTCAGGTACGTTTTACATTGTTCTTCAGCACATAGCCTCACGCATATATTTCCTTTCTGACTTAAGCATCGGAGGGGCGACGAGAACACACCTCGTTGCCTTTGTTTCAGGTATCGGAAGATCACGTTCGTGCTCCTCACCAATCATCAAGCTCGGAAAATCAGCAGGTACGATTTTTGGTAGCATCA